ATAATAATATATAATGTACATTCTGTTAGCAAATTAAAATAAAACTTTGTTCTAAAAAATAAATGAGGAAGTGGGCGGAACAAGAAGAGCGCGTGGGCGGGTGGTGTTGGAGATTCTTTGATGTCCCACTGTTGGGTTCAGGTGCGCTTCATCCTCCACACTGGTGAAAAACTGTCTCGAACAGAATGGATTTTAACAACAAAAGGAGGCGTTCATGAAGACAAACTTCTTTTGAAGAATAAAACTATGTCGTGCTGCGTCGGATAAAAAGGTCGAGCAAAGAGAAAAGACACGGTAAGAAAAGTAAGTCTTCACTGTGAGCCACATCACAACCTCTACAGTTGATGCTGGTGTTCCTCCGCGGAAAGTTATGTTTAGAACTATGAACACTTGGAAACATCACGTAACTCAGGCTGATCCACATCTCATTTTCAGAGTGCTGCTAGATTGTGCCAGTTCTGTTTAAAGTCATAACTATTTGATATCAGCTTTGTCTGTCTGTTAGCAAAATATGTTGTGAACCACCTGCTGGATCTTAATTATACTTTCAGGAAATATTATTTGGATGTACCTTTATAAGTGATTAACTTCTTGTGCCATCCCCCATTCAGGATGGCGACCACAGCCAACTAACAGAAAAAAAAGGCAATACATTTATAGATCTTGTGTTTAAAATTTGAGGTGGTAGTAGCTGAGAGTCATTCATAAAACATAAGCATGACATCTCATAAAAACACGTGATTGTGTTTGACCTAACCACCATTGTTTTAATTTTGTCATTTCTCAAAATAATATGGTTTTAGTCCTAAAACTCTTGCATTAAAGACATCATTCCTTCAACGAACGCCCTAAATTTAGGATATTTGAAAGATTTCAGAGGAACTGGGACTGGGTTTTTGTTCATCAAGCAGTATAACACTAGAAACTATACCTATTTAAGAACAGACAGTAGCATGAATGCAAGAGATATGACATTTTTTTATTTTTGATCAGCTGCCTTGACAAAAATCAGTGCAATAGATTGAAAGGGTCATAATTTGGAACTTAGGTTAACGTCTGGGTTAATATGGTTCATTTTTAGGCAAGGTAAGGAAAAGCCTGGTAGTATCTAAGGTTAGGGTTCATGAACTGCTCACAGGTGCATGGCAAGGCGGCCAAGAATGAGCCTCTGCTTTTCTACAAACGTTACCTAACCGCTGCAGTTTACAGAAGATAACATGTGCCTGCTGAAAAACTGTTCGCTGGACAAACCACGCCAAAATATATCTATTTGGTTTGAACAAAAAGTTCTCTGTTTGGAGGTAATAGTCTTATCTAAACTGCGGATCGTGGTGGTCGTATTATCATGGTCTGTGTTGATCCCTCTGAACCAGGTTGGCTTGCAAGTGTTTATGAAAACACTGAGTTCTCAGTAACGTTTGTGAATTTTAAAGAAAATGTCAGGACACCTGTCAGTGAACTGGTTTCTTGAGGGGAAAGAGGGAGGAAAAAAATAACAAAACTTAAGATTTTTTTTTAAATCACATGAATTATTAATT